ATGACATGTTGAGGAAGTGGGGTGAAATTGCAAATTGCACGCAGACCAAGTCAGTAATGAGTGTGGCTTGGACCCCCCCCACCTAGTGGATTCTTGAAATTAAACTTTGATGGATGCAGTAGGGGAAACCCGGGACAATCGGGGATCGGGGGTGTTTTTAGGGATGAAAATGGGATCATCTCTGCTATGTTCTCAGGCCCAATTGGAGTGGGTGATTCCCTTAGAACTGAGATATGTGCAGTTATGGAAGGAGCCCGGAAAGTTAAGGAATTGAACATCAAGAAACTTATAGTTGAAGGGGATTCAGAGGTGGTGATAGGGTGGCTGACTAAAGATCAAAATGATTTATGGAAATATAATAATGAGAAGAGGAAATTCAAATGGCTGGTGCGGGAGATGGAAGTTAAGACATGTTGGATTAAAATATCAGCTAATTCCCTAGCTGACGGTTTAGTAAAACAAGGGACAGAAAGGGATTCTTTGTTTTGGGCTAAGCTGTAACGTTAGTGTCTTTGTATCTTTGTATTTTCTTTTTTCATTTCTTGAAGTTCTTTGTGACTCTTGGAAGATAAGTGTGTTTGTCTTCCACTTGTAAATTTTCTACTGATGAATTAATGAAAGTGTTATTGATCAAAAAAAAAAATGATGGTGGTTGAATCAATTTTATCCCAAGCCAATAAATTACTTGCCGGGTTTTCCTAAAATGAGCATTAATGTTACTCTTGGAGTGTTAGAATCTACTTGCAACCATACAATTTTGTCCATTGTAACCAATGATCAATGGGATGATAACCTGTTATGAGATTAATGTGGTCCATGATAACCTGTTAGTTAAAAGTCTATGGTTTGTTATGAGATTAATAAAATTTTTAAATACATGTCTCTCCATCGTAAACGCATCATACGTCGTATGAAGGTGCTTCGAGTCATCCAAACATTCCATCACAAATGCATCATACGCCTTATCAAGGTGGTCCTAGTCATCCAAACATTCCATCACAAATGCATATCCACTCATTCTTGAAGTGCAATACGATTGTTTAATAAAATATGTGTTGTAATATCTCATACTTCACTAACAAACACAAGTTCAAAGAGCTCGTGATCATATTTATTCCATTTGTCAAAATGGATGGGTTGTACTTCGTAGTGGTCCATGGAATTCTAGAAAAGATATACATATTCATACACTAATTGTGTGAAATATAATAGAAGGTGATAAAATATAATATTCATGTAAATTTGCATGAAGTTATAAAATATCAAAAACAAAATTACCATGAAATCACATTTTCAAATTACCATGTGATCGGTTCACCAATATAATATAAAATAACAAACAAAACATCTAACACTTGTCCATTTAGAAAACAAGAAGCAAAGCATCCAACACATATCCAAGTAGGCAAATGACCAAGAGACAAAAAATCTAGACTTTAATGTCTATGGATTCTTCAATTACTCAATTTGACATTCGGTTGTAAATGATATAAACATTTACCTTCAATATTCTTTCTTGAATATTTGTGCTGCCTTCGAAACTTGTCTAGCATTAACAACTCAAATTAATAGAAACTTGTTTACAACCTATATTCATCTTGACATAGGTATGCCTTTCTAACATTGCTCTTTTCTTTTTTTACGGTTCTACCATCTTCATCCTAGTTTTGCTAAACTTTGCCCATGCATCCATTGTAAGCATGAGATCAGTTCCCTGCTCGATCTTCTTCCCTTTCCCAAGAGGTGGGAAGTGAACTATTTCTTATAAGTCTATCAAATTCTAACTAAATATCCACGTCCAACTCAACAGCAGGGGTTTTAGGAGTTTATGCATAGGGTGTGTGAACTTCATTAAGAGAGGGGCTAACAAATATATCTTGTATGTGGGACATGTTCAA